GGTATGATTTCAATACCCCAAAGATCTTTGAAAACAACAAAACTCAGACGGGCGCTACATAACAATCTACTAAGAAAACTACTAGCTGACCCCCACTTGATGAGCTCCGGCACGGGTCCTTAAAATGAACAGATTTGAAATAGTCTTCATGATGAACTGTTTCACCAAATCCAAAGCATCAGGTGTCAGTATCGCACTGCGTCGTTCACTCTCCGTTTCTCAATGCATGAATGGTTCGCCGATCTGCGTTTCCACGGCGATATTAATGACATGGCAGATTTGACATACCTTGCCTTTTGCGTGAAAATGAACCGCTACGTTATCTTCTAGTGACGTTGTCCAACCCTGAGGTAGTCTCTCCACCGTCTGGAAATAATATTTGTGCTCAAAATTGTGTTGGTAGGAACTAGGAATCGATGTCGGTGTCTCACACCAGGCGCACCAAGCCGAGCGGCCCTCGCGATCACGTGACCGCGCGTCAGCTCGGGCGGGGATTGGTCTGTGCTCGGCTTCGCTGTGTTGGAACCGCGCCAAATCCAATGGCAGGGGGCGGAGCCAAATGGAAACCGCAGTAGGGAGCGTAGGTCGTAGGTTGCTGCCGCGTCATTTTTTAGAGAGCTGTATTCACGAGGTGCGTGTTGCGGCGAATCCGGGGGTTGGGTGCATTCACTTTGCCGGAATCTTTTAGGTAGCAAGCTCACTTACCGATTCGGAGCTACGCGCGACAATGATCATGCGGTGGCCTGTCGTGGCTGCGCGCAGCCAGTAGCCTCTAGCCCTGCGTACGTTAAAATGGAGCTGCCCATATACTCATCGACGGTATTTTCGCGTGTCTGAAAACCAACGTTAAAAGATGATATTTGTGGTGAAATAATCAGAATTTAAGTGAATTATGGTAGCAGTATTTGGATCAGGCTCCACCGAGAGCATGTCTCTTTGCCTGATAACGTACGGGGAGCGTCGTTGCTTATGGAAGTCAGGAGGGATAGCTTGAATTCCTGGCATAGCTTCAGAGCGTGGCCGTGTTTATTGATGGAATTGCTGGAGATTTGCTGTTCTTGGCGATGGTTCTGGCCGAGCATCCAAAGGCTTTGCCAAAAGGCCTACAAACACTGAAAAGGCCGATATTTTTTTAAATACCTTCTCGGCTGGTTGAATTATTTTATGGACCCTTTCAAGGAGGGCTCGACATATGAATACGCCAGTATGTTCCAACCTGGTTCAGTCCGTGCTAGAGGGCTTAAGGGACGTCTTTGGTAAGTCATGGGGTGAAATTAGAATGCATTGCGTAAGCTGGAACAGGCTATTCGCTCACTACTTGAGCTCACTGGATTAGCCAAAGGAGATCCGAGGGTGGCATTTCTAGATGCCCATTTATCGACCGCGGATGGTGCTGATGGTTTCCAATCTTTTTACGTTGATCCACGTGAGTCCAAATTGCTACCCTAGCCCGTGTTACCTGGCTCTGACTGGGATTTAGTCATCCGCAAGCGACCGGGGAGGACTTTTTCACTCCCTTTCTGTCTCTGGAGCCAGTGCACCGATTTTGCCGACATAATTCGCACACGACAGTCCGAGACACAAAGCCAAAATCCGAAGTCTGTCAGTTTTAAAATGCGTTAATGCATGTATTCGGAGTTGAGCGCTTTTACTTCATCTTTCGGCTCTCATGGGATTCAAATTGTCGGTTAGTCAAGTTGCATCAAGTATTGGTGCATGCGACGCGAATGGAAGTGCGTATGTGCGGTAGCTTTCGTTCCATTTGTGACTTCTCGAGGTATACCAAATGGGAGACCAATTACATTTTCAGATGGTGGAGGAGAAAAAGAGACAAAGATTGCATTTGACGTGCGTTCCGTTTTGATGTGGCAACTTCTCGTATTTGCATATTGCCAACTTCTGGTGTCGACCCCTTCAAAATAATGGATTCGTGTGAATTTGCGTTCATTAGCGCACATGTGCGCAAAATGTTGAACTTCTCATTTTTTGCGCATTCCCTTTTCCGGTAGCTCGCTCTTCATGCTGCGACAATTCTGCGAAAGTTTTGCTTGGAGGTGTACCAAACGTGAAGTTCGGAACACTAATGGTAGCTGTACTATACAATTGCCTCGGGCCATGTCGGCAGGATGGGTCCAGCCGAAAAGATGCAATGTAAATCAAACGTCACTCGACAAGATCAACTGACAAAGCTGCCACATTTTCGAACCCGTTTCGTACGTAGATTCTGGCATTTTATTACGTATGCTTAAATTCTGGCAATTGTAGTTCGGGAATGAAGTCATTTTTGTAGGCCGCATATTTCCAAAATGGTCATGTGAGAATCAACGGCAGGCAGAGGTCAAATGTGAAAATAAAATGAAGCTGACGGAATGCACCAACATAGCTGCCACAACTTCAAAACTCAATGGAGCGATCATCACACGGTTATCGGCAACTAAGACTCAGATTTATGCAATTTTCTGTCAAAAGTCCAGTTAAAAGCCTCCCACCCCACCCTCCCAAAACTCCCTTCCCGGACAATTCACCTCGTTCCTGACTTCGCGTGCCCGCAATTGGTGGGATATTTCCAATGAAGCGAGACGCTGCTTGTTATTTTCGCGTCCTGTTCATTGGTGGCTGTTATCGTCAGTGCTGACGCACGCTGGCGCTAGCTGGATATTGGCAACGATTAGCCAGTTTGGAATGGCGTGCCATGCGATCAGATGACAGATGTTACGTGTTACAATATTAGCTCAAGTGCACGTAAGTCGGCGTCAGGCTGCGCATCGACGTGCACATGGTGCCTGCTGCTGGGTGGAGGCTTGATCAGGCGTTCCAGGCAGACAGCTCGCGCATTAGTAAGCATGACCTCGAATGCAACGGCGGGCACTCAGCAGACGTGACCATGTTGAAAATGCCGACTTGACATGGAACAACGAGCAGCAAACGGTGACCTCGTGCGGCGGCGGAGGTCAGCTGGCGTGACTTTGTTGAAAATACCGACTTGACATAGAAAGGACGAGCGGCAAACGGTGACCTCGTGCGACGGCGGAGGTCAGCTGGCGTGACCATGTTGAAAATGCCGACTTGACGTAGAACAACGAGCGGCAAACGGTGACCTCGTGCGGCGGCGGAGGTCAGCTGGCGTGACTTTGTTGAAAATGCTGCCACGGTCGGGGAGCAGTGTTGGTGTAAACACCAGGAAATTCGAGAAAACTTGTATTTAAATTGTCCACAGGCTTCGACAAAATTATCCTGGATGCGATGTGTGGACACGGCAGTACTCTGCGTGCAGTAGCGCCACCTATTCCTCATCCGTGGTCATTACCGCGGTAAAAGGGAGTGTTCCACATTCATATGTGATTTTAAATTGGAATAGCCACGATGAAGAGTATTCAGTGCAGTTTACATCCCTGCCATTCTCAAACCTCAACCCCTATTCTTTCTGAGCTACTCGCCCGCGAAGATGTGCGGACTTTTCCGGGGATGTGCGGGACTTTCAAGGTCACCTGGGCATCCACGGCGCCATAAGGACGTCATTTAAGCCCTGTCATTCAATCAGCCATGCTGCGATCAACGCCGGGAAAAGTGTAATTATCTAGTTGTTCATATCTGGTGTTCGTGAGTACGATTTCTAGATGTAACGGCTGTCGATTGACTCAATCAATACTGTACAAAGTACAGTGACGTAATCAGACAGTGGCGTTTTGAGGAGGATATTACTAAATAGCTGAGTTGTATTGTTTAGAGTGGTTTTTTGTTATTAAAAGTATGCCTATAGTTATAAGTGATATTATTTCATCATATCTGATTCTTGCTTCAGAAGCTTCAAATGTCAAACATTCCCTCCTAAGATGAGATCTATTTTTAAGGCTATGTTGATAATGCCATTTTACTAGCAGAATACAGCAAATATAGTGTTGACGACAGAACGGAAAGACAGTTTTTCATTAGACAGCTGACACGTACCTAGCAGCGAACCTTTTGCGGCACTGCTTGACAGGCGCCCGTAGTGAACAATGCCTCCACCTCTGACATCAGCGTTGTTAGAATGTCAAGTTACTGGGGGCTCAGAGGCCTGCAGCCGGGCGAGGTCAGGAAGGTCTTCGCCAGGAGACCGTCGACAGATTCTAATTTTTCGGCGGAGGGACGCTTGATTTGGCTGTCATGGCTTTGGGTCTGGTCATTGTCTATCTGTAGGAGATCGTTGCCCAACCGGCCTGCTGTTGTGTCGCCGTTTAATTGCGCATACATTGTTGGCTAGATACTACTGTATAGAGCTGTTATTATATAAGCGCTGCGGTCTAACAGTCACGCGGGTTGTTGGGACCATCGCTTACTTTGGGTTATTCTACTGGCCGTCGCATTGGTCTCACAGCAACTGGCAGATATGCAATCGATTGCTGCGCAATAGGTGATGCCCTGGGCAGCTCGGATAGTTTTCAATTGGCGTGGAGCTGACTGTCACCGAAGCTAACCCATGGACAACGGCTAAGTAAGGTAAACTGATGTGCGGCTCCAGTATCGTGACTGAAATCAGTGCCTTTACGTCTCTGCATATTTTTGGTTCATTTTGTTCAACCAGAATAACCACCGACATAGTAACGTAGTCCATGATCGGATAAGGTTCCACTGTCAAACGACGGCTTGTCATTCCCCATCCAATCTAATATTATGCACAGTAAAAGCATCCCTCCGACACCCGGCGCTCAGTTCCAGGTGTCTCGCTCGCGGCGCATGCCTGAGGGACCGACGCGCCACCTACGCGATGCCGCGCCGCCGCTAGCGCCGCCTGTCGTCCGCGCGCGGCGGTGAGCGCCGCCGACCGACACGGGCCATGCTGAGCGTGATGGAGCCGGGCGCCGCCGACGCTACTGCCGCCGGCGATCAAGGATGGCGCCAGCGGCGCGCGCGACGTCGCCAAGCCGCCGCCGTGCGGAAGCGCCGAGATAGGCGCGGGTGCGCCGCCGTCGCCGATGACGGCGAACGGCGACGGCGGCGAGCGCGCGGCGCCATCGCCATCGTCGGGCGGCGCCGAGAGCCAGCTCGAGGCGGCGACGGCAGCGCCCGCCAGCTCGGAGGAGGACGTGGTGCTGCGGCTGTCCGAGTCGGACGGCGCTGAACCGGATGGCGGACTGTCCGAGGACGAGGATCGCCTGCTACGCGACGAGCCCGGTAGGTGGCACCGGCCGCGGCGGAGGCGGCACCCACCCCCGCCAGCCCACCTTCACTCGCTGTGTTAGAGTTGGCGATGGCATGATGATACGGTTCTGGTGCGCTAGTGAGTCCTCCTGTGTCAGGCTAGTGACCGGTTCTCGTGCGCTGGTGAGTTCTCCTGTGTCAGGCTAGTGACCGGTTGACGTGCGCTGGTGAGTTCTCCTGTGTCAGGCTAGTGACCGGTTCTCGTGCGCTAGTGAGTCCTCCTGTGTCAGGCTAGTGACCGGTTGACGTGCGCTGGTGAGTTCTCCTGTGTCAGGCTAGTGACCGGTTTTCGTGCGCTGGTGAGTTCTCCCGTGTCAGGCTAGTGACTTTGTACCAACTTGTTTACTTTGTGTTTGTTTTGTGTGCACTGATTTTGATGGTCTTTGTTTTCTTATTACTATAACTTATGACAATACCTATTATTCATTACAATGCTGTGTGGTCAAACCAATGTAGAGGCGGGTATTTCAGGGGTCTGAGTGCTTTCGAGCACTTTGTTTTCTGCTGTTTGAATGGGTAGCATGAAGGTTTTATTCGTAAATTTCGTGTTTTTTCTAGTGTAAAACTTACCATCTAATACCAGATCCGATGAATAGCATGATGTAGCTGGTTGCCATGCGCTGATACGCCTGCGCCGCGACTATCCTGACGTTGAGGAGCTCTGTCTACAGCCGCCAAGCGGTCCTCGCCTCCGGCGCCGGTGTCGGCCGCGTCCGAGCCAGCCTCGCCCGCCTCTGCCGACGATGCGGCGGGCGCCGCCGACCCGGTGGACTTGCCCGACGACATGTTCGAGAGTGCTGCCGCCCTCAACGCGGCCGAGGAGGAGGAGGAACGCGAGAGGCGCGAGTCCAAGCAGCGTGCGCTCGCCTGCCTCGAGGCGGCCGACTCGCTGGACGCCAGCGAGATGGGCGAGGCGGCGGATTCCATGGACGCGTGCGACGCCGGCGAGGCGACGGATTCCATGGACGCTTGCGACGCCGGCGAGGCGTCCGACTCGATGGACGCGTCATACCTGCAGGTGGCGGCCGACTCGCTGGACGCCGGCTGCGAGGCAGACGAGGCGGGCGAGCCGAGCCCAGCCTCCGGTGAAGTAGCCGTTCAGACGGACCCTGAGGAGGAGCCCAGCGAAGCGCTCTCCGGCGAGCCGGCCGAGCCCGACGACTCGGCCGGGCCGGACCCCGACGATCCGGGCGATGCCGACGGTCCGGACCCGGCGGCGGACGATACGGACGACCCGCCCGCCGCCGGCGGTCGTAAGCGGCCTTGCTCGCCGTCGGACGCGGCGCCCGACGCCAGCAAGGTGCGCCGGGTGGAGCCGTCTACGGCCGCTGCGACCCGCACCAAGAACTTCATCGAGGTCAAGAAGGTCAAACTGAGCGAGGACAACATGCGCCTACTGCAGGTTGGTTGGCTGGCTGGCTGGCTGGCTGGTGGTGGGTGTGTGATCGGAAGAAAGCTGGGATGGCTGGGCATGCCGCACAGGAGTGGGTGGGGCACGCAAGAGCATAGCATCTGGCAAGGATGGGCGGAAGTTTGCTAGTTGCCGGGCGTCATGCCGCTAGCTACCGACTGTTTCCAGTTTGGGCTTTGCCAACGCTGCTTTGGTTCACTTTCGTTTTCCTCCTGAGCTGTCACTGTGCCGGGCTATTTGGCATATTTCAGGGCCGTGTAAATTATGTATTTGTTAGCAATGATGTGACCGCCACATAGAATCTATTAATTGCACGTGCCGACGAGCAATGTTTGCCCGGGCTCATCGGTGTGACATCACGCTGCAACAACGCGCGGCTGTTGTCCGTGGGCCGTCCACCACCGGTACACCGGCGCTGGCCCGGCCCCGCGCGCGGCGCCGCTGGCTGACAGCGCCCCCGCCCGCCGGCGGTCCCGGCAGGAGTCGAACGAGCGCGAGCGGCGTCGGCTGGGCGAGCCGCAGCCGCAGCCGCAGCCGCAGCCGCCAGCCGTCAACGGCGTCAAGACGGCGCTGCTGCAGCGCGTGCGCCAGCTGACACGGCCCGACCTGGAGACGTGAGTGGCGCGCCGGCGCACTGGCGACGCTGGCGGCCAGTGCGGCCGGCCGACGGGTGCCCCGGGGGAGGGCTGCTGGAGGCGGACGGCAGCCACGCTCTGAGGCAGTCGCAGGCTGGGGAGGGGAGGTCTGTGCCCACCGGTCCCTGCTGGTGCCGATGGGTCGGAGATGGGTGATTGTGAGACGCATCTGGAATCTCGAAGTTAGAGCCTGAATGGCTGAAATAGGAGACGTGTATATTTGACCCAGACTAGGTTGTCGTATCATGTTTACCACGCCCATGCCTTCCGTCCATGCCGTACACGCTTGTGTTTTCTGGCCGAGGTTGTTATGAACTGACGTGCAAATGAGGTTCGATGTTCCCACCAAGTTTCCGTGATTGTGTTTGTGCTGTTTGTTGTTAATGCTGTTGCTGGACAGAACCGGCCGGAGCTGAGTCATCTGTATCCGAGTCCACGTGGATGTGATCAACGTGAACCGCTGTGCCGCAGCCAGCTATATGGAGCCGTGGTCCCTACAGTGGCCATGCAGTCTGCAGCTGTGTTTGTCATGGTGCCTTCGCGATCCACTGGGCTAAGTCTCCTACCTCGTCGCTGTTCTCAGGGTCTGGGGCTCTCACGGTGCCCCCGCCATCCACTGGGCTGAGTCTCCCACGGCGTCCCTGTTCTCAGGGTCTGGGGCTCTCACGGTGCCCCCGCCATCCACTGGGCTGAGCCTCCCACCTCGTCCCTGTCCTCAGGGACTGTGGTTCTCACCGCGTGCCTGGTCCGCAGGGCCATCCCTGTCTCTGCTCAGTGCGGCTGCTGCTCTGTGTGTTTGCCGCGCGAGGCTGTGCTCCTTACGGCGTGTTGTCTGCTGCTTCGTCCCTGCTGCGTGGTGCTGTATCAGCTGTCCGGGGGCTCTGCACCTCACCACGCCGCCGTGCCCTCAGCCTGGTGCTGGACAAGATGTGCGAGTCGATCGCCTGCCGGAGTGTTATCGGCGAGAGAGAAGCAGTCGGCCGAGAAGCATGTGACGGCCGCCGAGCGCTTCCAGAAGAAGATCAACCTATCTGCATAAGCAGGTGACACGTCAGCAACCGGCCGTGCAGCGGCAGCGGCCGCCGCCGCCCGCTGCCGCCTCCACGGCATCTCACACTGGGGTTCTGGTCTCTCTCCTCTCCCTCTCTCTCTCTCTCTTCTCCTCTCTCATCTCTCTCTCTCCTCTCTCTCGCTCTCTCTCTCCCTCTCTCTCTCTCTCGCTCTCTCTCTCTCTCTCTCTCTCTGTCTCTGTCTCGTCTCTGTCCTGTCCTCTGTCTCTGTCTCTGTCTCTGTCTCTGTCTCTGTCTCTTGTCTCTGTCTCTGTCTCGTCTCTGTCTCTGTCTCTGTCTCTGTCTCTGTCTCTGTCTCTGTCTATGTCTCTGTCTCTGTCTCTGTCTCCTGTCTCTGTCCCTGTCTCTGTCTCTGTCTCTGTCTCTGTCTCTGTCTCTGTCTCTGTCTCTGTCTCTGTCTCTGTCTCTGTCTCTGTCTCTGTCTCTGTCTCTGTCTCTGTCTCTGTCTCTGTCTCTGTCTCTGTCTCTGTCTCTGTCTCTGTCTCTGTCTCTGTCTCTGTCTCTGTCTCTGTCTCTGTCTCTGTCTCTGTCTCTGTCTCTGTCTCTGTCTATGTCTCTGTCTCTGTCTCTGTCTCTGTCTCTGTCTCTGTCTCTGTCTCTGTCTATTCTCTGTCTCTGTCTCTGTCTCTGTCTCTGTCTCTGTCTCTGTCTCTGTCCTGTCTCTGTCTCTGTCTCTGTCTCTGTCTCTGTCTCTGTCTCTGTCTGTCTCTGTCTCTGTCTCTGTCTCTGTCTCTGTCTCGTCTCTGTCTCTGTTCTCTGTCTCTGTCTCTGTCCTCTCTCTCTCTCCTCTCTCTCTCTCTCTCTCTCTCTCTCTCCTCTCTCTCTCTCTCTCTCTCTCTCTCCTCCCTCCTCCCTCAAGTGGATAACAGTGACATTTAAATTATTATCCTTGTGAAACGTTGTTGTTAAGTAAGGGCTTTGATGCAACGGTGACCTGTCAACAAGGCTTACGAATCCTCATGCTTCTGTACCAAGTCCCGTTCACCGACTTCATCTCAGTTTTGGCCATTTAGACGTGTAAGACATGTTATTGCGGGCTATTTGTATCGCGATGTCGTCCTGTCTCCTGATGATGCATGCGGGGAGCATACCAGAGGCCATCGAGGCCGGTGGGTGACCCCGAGTGTGCGGTACTCTCCGCTCCCCGCCGTGCGGACCATTGCCGAGCCGCGTACACGGCTCCACCGGCGCCGGTCTGACCCTCCGGCGGCGCCGCTCCCCAGGTAGGTGATCTGCATCTGGTGGTGCGCAAGCTGTCGGCCGAGCTCAAGTCACGCCGCGCGCCCAGCTATCCGGTCAAGATCACACGCACCGTCGGCCTTCAAGTCACGCTGGCGGTCAGTGGCCGGCCGGGCCGGGGTGGGCAGGAGCGGGCCGGCCTGTGTAGCCGGCCGGCCGGGGAGCGCCGGCCGGGGAGGGCCGAGCCGGGGAGCGCCAGGGAGGGCCAGGCCGGGGAGGGCCGCGCCGGGGAGGGTCGAACCGGGGAGCGCCAGGGAGCGCCGGGCGGGGAGCGCCGGGCCGGCCGGGGGAGCGCCGAGGCGGGAGGTGCCGGCCGGGGAGCCCCGGGCCGGCCGGGCCGGGGTGGGGAGGAGCGGGCCGGCCGAGGAGACTGCGATGGGAAACGATGGGTGTGGGGCCGCCGAGCGGCAGGTCGTCGCGTCCGCTGCCGACCCGGATCGTTGGCTGGGAAATGTAGCCGTTCACAGGTACTGGCGAAACATGACATCATCAGAGACACATTTGGCTGTGGTGTTGCTGAGAAGGCGATTTGTGTATTCGGCGTCATTCAACAGTGCGCATGCCAGGAGATCCCCCGTGCATTGCTATTGAATGAGTGGGTACCTAGCCCGGCCCACTCCGTTGTGCTTTAGCACGTGTTTCCATGCAAGGGTGCTGTGGTGGGTTAGAAGCGCTCTTCGGTGGGCATCGGTGGGTTGTGGCCGTGTGGAGGCCTCCCCCGCTCAAGCTGTTCCAGGTGGGTTGACCGCCGCCGCTTGAAGTCGCGGACAGACTGTCTGCCTCTTGTTGTCGGTCTCTCTGTCTCTGGCCGAGTCCACTTGTCGAGATGAACGGCGGCTGCCTGTGCTAGACCCACGGTGACTCTAGCAGCGCTGTGTCGTGCTGTACGATCGCCCGGTACGACTCTCGCCACTTGGTGTCAGCCGGCTCCCCCTCTGACGGCCGCCGCGCCCCGACGCTCCTGTGACGGCCCCGCCGCGCCACCCCACAGAAGAGCGTGCCACCGCTGACGAGCCGGCCGCGTCCCGCCCCCGGCGCCGCCGCCGCCACCCCGGCAGCCAACGGCGTGCTGCGCGCCCAGCTCAGCTCGCCCATGCGGCCTCGGATGCCGGGCAGGGTGAGTACGCGCGGCGTGGCGACGCTGGTCTGGCGCGCGCCGCCCCGCGCGCGACATGGCGTGCTGGGCTTCGCGTCCGGACAGGCCCCGTGGACGGGCGTGGTGTGCGCTGTGCGTGCCCTGTGGTCGGGGTTGCCTCCGGGAAGTCCTTGGTTCGAGTGTAAACCGGTGCCTGCTGTAGTTACTGGGTCTAAGCGCGCCGACGCAGCAGGTGCAGGCTGCTCGCGCGGGTTGTGTTAGTTCTCAGCGTCGCCTTCACAGGCGTCCGCTACTGGCGTGGCGCCCTACGGCTGGCGCGTGTGTGGGCCCGCTGCTGGGCGGCGGCGCGGTGACCGGGCCGGCCGGTGTGTGTGTGTGTGTTCGCAGGCGCCGCTGAGTCCGGCGCCGGTGCCACTACAGCGCACCGGGCTGGGCGCGCTGCCCGGGTCCGGAACCGGCTCCAGCCCCGGCTCCAGCCCCGGGCCGGCCAGACGAGCGGGCCGACCGCCGGCGCCGGTGAGACGGCGCGGCGAACGCCGCGGAGGCCCAGCTCTGGTCAGGGCCTGGGCCCGGCTCTGGTCAGGGCCTGGACCCGACTCTGGTCAGGGCCTGGGCCCGGCTCTGGTCAGGGCCTGGCCTCAGCTCTGGTCAGGGCCTGGACCCGGCTCTGGTCAGGGCCTGGCCTCGGCTCTGGTCAGGGCCTGGACCCGGCTCTGGTCAGGGCCTGGCCTCGGCTCTGGTCAGGGCCTGGACCCGGCTCTGGTCAGGGCCTGGACCCGGCTCTGGTCAGGGCCTGGACCCGGCTCTGGTCAGGGCCTGGACCCGGCTCTGGTCAGGGCCTGGGCCCGGCTCTGGTCAGGGCCTGGACACGACTCTGGTCAGGGCCTGGCCTCGGCTCTGGTCAGGGCCTGGCCCGGCTCTGGTCAGGGCCTGGGCCTGCCTCCGGCCGGGCTGCGGGAAACCTCTGGTTATGGGCCGGGCACGTCCCGGACGGGGCGTGGGGGTGCTTCTGTAGGCTGATTGTTGACCTGACGGGGGTTGGTGACGCTTCTGTAAAGAGTGAGATGTTATTAGCGCGTGCTCAGTGGTAAATGCCATTGCCCGGACACTTGCCCGGTCCGGATTGCGGATGCCCCAGTAATCGTTTGGTGATTGGGTCTTTGGCTTGGTGACGCCTCTGGGAGGGGTTTTGTTGATGCTGCCACAAATGCCGGGGATTGGGGGACGATGGACTCGCGGTGTTTCGGATGTGACTGGGGAGTTGCCTGGCGGTTTCTGGCCGGCTCGGCGGCCGAGCAGTGCGGATGGCGGCGGCTGCGTGGGCTCCTGCCGGACGTGAGCGGACTCCTGACCGCCAGGTGGTGCAGTCCCGCGGCGGTGCGGTGGCGCTGCTGCCGGTGGTGCGCTCGCCGGCGCCGTCCAGCTCGCCGCATCGGCAGATGGCCCCGGCGCTGGGCCCAGCCGCCGCGGCGCAGAAGCCGGCCGCGGTGAGTGGCCGCCAGACGGGCGCTGTGCGGGGGGGGGGAGGGGGAGGGGAGGCGTGCCGAGGACCCGCTCTGGAGGCCCCGCAGGAGGTTGGGCCCAGGGGACATGGCGTGCGCTGACAACGAGTAGTGGGCGCACCGCCGTTGAGCAGACCCGTGCGTACTCAGTGTTCGCACCCTACCGCTCAATGTCAATCAATTCTTTGCTGGATTTGGTGAGGGTGAGGCGACGTCTTCCACTCACGACGTTTGAGAACAGAACTGGGCGCGTGCACTGTGTCGGCGATTTGAGTTCGTTGTGGTCAATGTGCCCAGTTGCCGCTTCCCCGGGTGGCCAGCCAGGCGTCTCCCCGTTGACGACCTCTCCCCATTGGTGACCGGTCTGCCGTCGCCGCCGTCCGCAGGCGCGGCAGCTCTCGATGCCGGCGCCGACGCCGCGGCCCCGTGGCCGGCCACCTAAGCAGCCGCAACAGCAGCCGCCGGCAGCGGCGGCGGCGGCGGCGGGCTCCGCCGACGTGGTGGATCTCACCGACGACGACGACACGCGCCGGCCGGCCGGCCGCGGCGGCGGTGGCGGCGTGCAGGGCTCGCCCCGCCGGCCGGCCGGAGCGACGACGGTACGGAGCGGCGGCGCGGCATCCTGCGGCGTCCCTACCTGCCTCCCTCCCTGGTCGCTCCTCGCTGCGGCGTCCGGCGCGGCGCTGGGCCGGGGCCGCTGTGCTGCCTGCGCGCCTGCGCGCTGCTGATCAAGGCTTTTGTCGTGCCTTGTTTCGTTGTGTGCACATGCGTATTCGATGTTTTCGCACGCAGTGTTGTCCTTACGTTCTTTCGTGCAATATTTTAAGTATACGCTTGTCAGTTTGGAGCCCGAGCAGAGCCATCTGGCCTAAAACACATCAGGGGACGTGCGGGCTCCTGTTGGGACACCGCACGTATTGTGCGAAGTGTCGGCCGTGCCGGGACGTGTCGTCTCCGGGGGTCGTGGGGTTTGAGACAGCTCCCGACCTTCTCTATGCTGGGGCTTTGGTCTTCTGCTGGGACAGTGTTTGTTAACCGGTGTCTGCAATAACTACATTGGCTTTTTAAGTGTTGCGTTGGACAGCATCCCCTGTTGGTTAAGCAGGATCAGGCTGCACACTCCTGGCACACTATAGGTGCAATGTTTCATGGCATTGATGTTTGCCACCGTGCTGCCTGCTGTTTTTTTGTCGTTTTTTTGTCTTCATACCAATTATATAAGTATGGTGACCGGTTTCTGGCGAGGTCCAGTCTTCGCGCCCCCCAATTGGGCCCAATCTTCACCAGCTTCGTTGTGTCCGCTGCGGGCTCTCACCGGCCCCGCCCGCTCTCACCGCCCCCTCCCCCCCCCCCGTCAGACGGTTTCGCGCGTGGTGGGAGCCGTCAGCCCGGGTCGAGGCCGCGGTGTTGGCCACCCGGCGCCGTTCCCGGTCACGCCGCCCAACCCGGCTGTGCACACGGGTCAGCTGCTGCCGCCGCCGCCCCGGCTCAAGGTCACCAGGCGCGCTAACGGTCAGTGACGCGCCGCGTCGCCAGCCAGCCAGCCAGCCAGCCAGCCAGCCGGCCAGCCAGCCAGCCGACCGTCGGGCAGGCGCTGACCGCGCTGGTCGGCGTGACCGGCATGGTCAAGCTCGACAGGGCCCGTACCGATGGCGCCGGGCTGTTGGAGATAGCTGTGGATAGAATGGCGGCGTCGCACGTCTCATGGGATCGGTGGGGCGGATGATGAAGTCATTGGACGAGACCGAGAGGGCGGTCCATTAGATTGTGTGATCAGTCTGGGCAGCACATGACTTGCGGGGTGAGTCCCCGATGTGTCGTACCCCTGCTATGCGGTGACGCGCGTCGAGGGTCAACGGTCGCGTGCAGTCCGTGGCCAGGCAGTAAAAGGCGACGGTTCGCGAGCGTCCGTCGGGTGGTAGACGGGTGCAACGCTAGGTAGTTTCGGGCGCTGCGTGGCTGGTTTGGTCGCTCAGCCAGCCGTCGTCCTGTGTTCCGCCGGTGACGTCGGTTCGGCCGGCTCCGTAGGCATCGTGCTGTCCTGGACGATGGACCTGACGCCGCGGCACGCCGGGGTGGTCAGCTACCACCTGTTCGCGTACCAGCAGGCGGGACCCGTCAACCCGCGCGCGAACCCCTGGAAGAAGGTCGGCGACGTCAAGGCGCTGCCGCTGCCCATGGCCTGCACACTCACACAGGTAGCGGCGGCGCGCGGCCGGCTGGCGGTGGCGGCCGGCCAGCTGGCGTCCAGCGGTCTGTCCGGTTTGTTTGTGCGGGGCAGTATCTAGTCAGGAATGTGGCGATCAGGTGGCAGTTTAGTCGGTTCGGTTCAGCTGGCTTGTTTCTGAGTGTCTCGCCGTATCTCGGTGCGCGCTGTCGCTTCAAAGGAGGTCATGTGTCGCGTGGGCCGTTATGAGACTGCTCTCATGCGCTGGTCGGCGGGGCGTGGACGGCGTTCATTTTCGTCCTGGGAGTAGTTATAGCGCATTAACTGAATGTTTTATCTCACAGGCTTTGAGGCTCTGGAGCAAAGTCCGCGTTATCAAATGCCCTTTCGGTTGGATTCAGTCAGGATGCCACGCACCTATCTGGGGTGGGCAGCGTGGCACTTTGGTGTGCGATGTTGTACTCTCCATGTCCTACGTGACGCCATGGTCTGCGATGCTGTACTCTCCATGTCACACGCTCGCGGCTGGTGTGTCGCTGGGCCCGCACTGCGCCTCGCCCGCTCACCCGCCGCCCCCTGCCGCAGTTCCAGGAGGGGCACAAGTACCACTTCGCCGTACGCGCCGAGGACAGCTTCCGTCGGCGCGGCCCGTTCTCGAACCCGAGCTCGATCGAGCTGCTGGGCCCCTCCTAGCTTCCGGCCGGCGGGGCGCCCGCGGCCGCGGCCCGCGTCCCACTGCCAGCAGCGCAGCGGCGGCGGCGACGGCGGCGAGCCCGTTTTACCGGCGGCGGCGCGCGTCCCGACGTCGCCGCCGCCGCCGCTAGTGTACATTGTGACTCCGCTCCGTGTCTTTGAGTAATGTTAGATGTGGTAATAAAGAGATCGAGGATGTGCCGAGTTTGGACCGCCGTCGTCAAAAACGACCGTATTGGAAAGCCAGGCCGCCACAAAAAGAGATCATGTGGCGACTTGCTTCGCAATGCTAGGCCGGGAAAATAACCAGGTCAAATCACCATACGTACGCGTGCAGATAGCTATTTTGTAAGGCCATGGGTCAGGTGATGGTGATACAATCGGAAAATAGCCTTAGGGAAAGAAGCCGAAGGTTGTATGCAGCTACTTCAACCCTGGATTGGTCCAGAGAATCCAGCCGCTGTCATGCGGGGCTTCCGACACCTTTCGATCCCCTCGCAAGTGCTGACGACTCCTGTCGGTCGTTCAACCCTAGCCTGAACACTTAAAACGGAATTGTATTTTTCGATAGCGCGTTTTACGCAAATTAACGCGCACCGTAAGCGCGGACAAATACTGGTGAGCTGCTTTGGGCCCTGTTGAGAAGGTAAATGATACCCGTAGACGACCTAGTTCCAGTCTCAATAGTTTGAGGGCTCACGGAGGCGCAGCAGGTACTCAACTTACCTTGGCTGTATGAAGTGGTCCCAGCATACATGGATGCCCAGTAGCATTTAAGCACGATTACGCCGAAAATGTAAAACATTTGGAAGCGTGTTTCATGCGGCAGACGCTGGAGTAAAAGAAACGCGCGCTCGGTGCGTCAAAATGTCCCACAAAAGGCTAGTTAAGCTTTGTAAGAAAAAATATGATTAGTGGAATGGGACCTGCGTTTATTCGGTCGTAACAAATTGGTTGAATAATAGGTAATCGTTCTAACGGTGACAAATGCTTCAGATGAAGCCAAAATGTGCACCTTCGGCGAGTCAAGGGTGTATATGCTTCCTAGATGCCACTGGGTCTGCATGCTCGTTTTTCACAAAAAAGCTCCAGGTCTTCGACAAAAATCGAGACAAGCGGACCATTCCCCAAAAAGGTGGCCTTAAACCGAAGTGCCCTGAAGTCGAGAGGAGCGCGGGTGTTTTTGCTGGTTAGCTGGGTCTAATGGCCCGAGCCCCTGGATCCTAGTCCCTCACCTTCCAAGAACGATTTTCACCCTTCTCCATAGTGAAGGAAATATTGGGATAGTGTTCACCGCGTTTTGGGAAAAGTTTCTCCGCAAAGATCAGTGAGCACCTACATAATTTTCAGTTAGGGCAAAAGGGTCTCCCAAATTATGGGAGGACATAAGCGTGCTTTTCTCGCCCTGTCAGCAGGAGGCGGAGGGGTGGGATCACTGCCTCCTCGGGCCACGCTGCTGCGCCGCCTCAGCGACGAAGGCTCTGGGGTGGCTGGGTACTGGTTGACGGCAGCTGACGTATGCCAAGACGACGGTCGCGAGGCTCTTTGCAATGCCGGGCCAGGAGACGGTCCGCCGCGCTCGACGCGTGATTGGGTCGGTGCCGCGATGTCCGTCCTCCAGTTGAGTCTGGGTTTCTCGTTGGTAGCTTTGGTCAGTAGCCAGACGTGGGAGGACATCAGCAGTGGCCACCACGGAGCGCACACCCGAACACGCCATAGCGGGTGCAGCTCAGGACGATGGTCTACAGATCCAGTCACAGTGATGACCGCGAGGACTGAGTATGCTGGGTCACGAGCAGATCCGGCAAAGACGTTCTCCAGAGTGACGCCGTGGAGGCAAGGCGCTTACCGTCCTCACGTTGAGACTAACGTCACCTTGAGAATGATCATGAGATCGCGTAGAAACGGTCAGCTCCCTCAGCAGCCTGCAACATCAACATCCACTCTATCACCAACCTTATCGTCAGGTTCAGAGTCCTGCATGGAGCACGACATAAGGCCTATGGCACTTGGCAGCCATTCTTACGCTGGCGTTTGTTCCACTGGTACCTACTTAACTCGACGCTACTGCACTCCACAGCTATTGCGTTCCGGTTGTTAAATGCTGACGGCGCTTGGCAACCGGAACGAAACGGCGCACACAGAAGGCAGGAGGACTCTTTTCGTTTCGTCTGGTCTGTTGAAAAATATTCATCATGGAGGTGTCGTCGCTTCGTCACCACGTGCCAATGCACTATTTTGGGTTTGTGTATTTGGTCCTGTTCGTACGACAGGGTTCGTTAGTTTTCCGGAGGACCATCGACTTGATTCGAAAACAGACGTTGAAAAGGAAGAGCCTATTAACCAAAGAGTTGCAAGGCAAAGGTGAAAAAGGGGTTCAAAGGGCGGCGTCGCACACTCCGAAGTCGTCGTCGTCGTCGTCGTAAACACGAACGCATCTCGCGTCGAGCCGCGCAGTCGGAGCCTGAACGTGGACTGCTCGGCAGGGACCGTGCGTCCCCGCCCGCGTGTCCCCATAAACCCACGTGGCCCACATATGGGCTCCAGATGGTGGGGACCAATCGGCAGAGGGGCCGCTCACACCATCACGGAGACGCCGCCGCCGCGCCGCCAGCGACGGCCCGTTTGCTCGCCGTCCCATAACAGGTCCCATGGTACCAAATCGTGATGTGCCCAGACCGCCTGCGGACTGTGAAGTTTCAGATGTTTTAAAAAAAAACAGCCGCCTCCGTGGTCTAGGGGAAAGATGCTGGACTCGTAATCCAGCGGCACTGGGTACGAGTCCCAGAGTGGGCGCATTGTTTGACCCGACTGAAATGGAAAGGCCAGCTGGCAACTGGCCAACGAGGGTCAACCCAGGCCCGAGGCGGCCGTGTCGCAGCATTGTGCGGCACGTAAAACCCTCCGCATTCCTGTCCGGCGAAAGGGCGGAGGCAAAATTAGCTGTTGAACTAGACGGCACGCTTGGGTGGTGGGTTCGGGGTACACGCAACAAGCTATGCTTAGCAGGTACTCTGAATCCGAAGTCACCCATGCAAACCATTCGGAATAAATGTATAGAAAAAAATGTGGTCATGGTCACGACCATCACAAGCCATGGCCACGCTTCTGTTTATCAAATTTTTCGAGCACTTGAAATATGTCACCAAATTCTGTCTCTAATAATGCTCGCATGACTGGTGAGAAGCTTTCTTTTGCCAGCTGGCGCTGGCACCACGGCCAATGAGTTTTTCACGCATTTGGTGCAGACGAGGGCTTTCAATTCGACTGCGTTCCCATACTGCTCAAGATGGGTACCGAGAGGTAGTGATCGAGGTATAGGCAGAAACGCAGGCAGGGGGGGGGGAGGGCAAAGAAAGCGCGTGCCCCTCTTAGGTCCCGGGAGGCCCGGAGGGCCCTCAAAGCCTACTATTAAGGGCCCGAAAGGCCGGCTGGAGGTCGCATTAAGGGCCCCAGCCTGCAGAGCCGGGCACTCCAATGCCAGCCAGAGGGCCCTGCACACTGATCAGCGGCCCCTTAAGTCGATAAGGGCCTATGTATTGGTAAACACCACCAGCAACACGCAGCCGGCTCCGCGACGACATGGAAAGTGAGGCCCATTTCCCAGGCAGGAGCAAAGCCGGGGCCGGCGATTTACATTGGTCGGTCTAACCTAACCTAGCCTGACCCAATCCCAGCGGGGCCCCAGCGTCTGTCAGCGCTCGACAACGCCTAACAGGGGCCCTGTGTTGGCAAGGGGCCCGAGTCAGCCAGAAGCAGTGTTCGAGGTGACCCAGAGAGCTTAGAGGGCCCACCGAATCCGACGATCAAGGGCCCGACTGGAGCCTCCAAGGGCACGAGTGACTAGTCCGAGTCTTATTCAGGGGCCCCGGCATATGGGAACGGGCCCTCAAATAACCGTCAGAGAGGCCTTCGCGCCAATGGGAACCCCCTGAGTCGATATGGGCCTATTTATCGGTCAGGCACCACCAGTATCGTACAGTCGGCTCCGTGTCGGTATGACTCGAGAGCCTACTTCCCAATAAGCTATAAAGCCGGGCCCGTGATTTATACTGGTCGGAGCTCCTGCATCTGTCAGGGGCCCACAGCGCCTAACAGAGGGCCCTGTTTTCGCAAGGGGCCCCGAGCCAGGGGAAGTGTTCGATGGGACTCGATGCGGGGCCCGGGCGGCCCACCGGAACCGACGATCAAAAGCACAGTTGGAGGGCATAAGCGCCCGAAGGACTAGCTGTAGGTCACATACAAAACCGTGGCCCGTAGGGTCATGACCTGAGATGTCAGTCAGAAGTCCTCTTGCATCGTTTGAGGACCCCATGAGGCAACGCGGGTGTCTAAGTCGGCCAGAGACCACGAATACCGAACAGTCAACTCCATGTGCGTCCGAGCCCTTGAGACTTATTTCCCAAGCGAGAACTCCCGCCATTTGCAATGTTCGGGGTTCCTGACGCAATGAGAGGCTTCCATGTCGGCCAGGGGCCACAGCGCCCAGCAGGGGTCCTGTGGCCGCAAGTGACCTCAAGTCGGAGCGGTGTTTGAGGGGACCGGAAGAGGGACCGAAGGGTCTCTCGAGGCCGAATAACAAGGGCCCGATTGAAAGGCCGAAGGGTCCGAAGGGCTGGCTGTAGGTCATGTTAAGGATCCCGGCCCATATCATCCCAGCCATGATCTCAAACGTCCGTTAGAGGGCCTCTTGCACCGATTGGGGACCCCTGAGACGAAGCGTTCCTCTATTTCAGTCAGAGGCCAGCAGCACAGTCGGCTCCATGCTGGTCTGGGGGCCCATTTCCTAAGCAGGGACAAGACTGCGCCTGCAATTTACAATGTTCGGGGCTCCTGTATCGTTCAGTGGTTCACAGTGCCTAGGAGGGTACTTTGTGCCAAAAAGAGGCCTTGAGTCGGTCAGGAGAGGATTCGCCTAGCAGGGACAAGTACGGGACCCCCAAATGACGGACAGCCTCCTCCATTGGTCGGAGCCCTCTGACAATGAAAGCAAACATGAAAACTTATAAGA